TAAGCCGCGTGGATGGCAGCCTGCGACCATAAGAATTGTGGAGACTTTGTCCTACGATCATGGCACGCATCATATCCGTGATCGTGCGGTTGAATCTCTCAGCAACGCCGTTTTGGGCATGTGCATATGGAGCTGTTATTTCGAGTAGAATTCCTCGGTCCGCACACCATTTTTGTAATGGATTATTAATATATTCTCGACCATTATCTGATCGTATGCGTTTAACTTTGAAATCCCACTGTCTTTCTATGTTTAGAATATGGGTTTTAAGTGTTTGCGGAGCATCTGATTTATTTTTCAGAGGGAAAACCTCCGCTCTTCTCGTGCAATCGTCAATAATAGACATAAGGTATTTGTGACCATGTATGGAAGCTACACGTGCCGGACCCCACAGATCGGTAAAGATCCGATCACCGGGAGTAGTAGATCTATTTTCGGCTTGTTTTGGAAAAGACGTGTGTGTCATTTTTGCTTCCGTACACGTGTCACAATCGAAGTGTTCTGGGCTTGGGGATATTTTTAGTCCCTCAACCAAACCTTTGTTTGATACAGTCATTTGCATTCCAACCCGGAAAATGCGCGTCTCGCGAACTGTTTGTTCCGCGCAAATTCATACCCGATTTGGCTTGTGGTCACACGCGATCACAGTGTGACTGCCTGTGACCGCTGTGCTTTTTTTTTTGGACTCAAGTTACCGCTGTGCGCGTTCAATCCAGGTGTTTCCCCCCTCCATCTATGCTGCCCGCAGTCTTGTGGATCTCCTTGTGGGAGAATGCAGCGCCCCGGAGGGGTTGTAAAACCGTTGAATCAATACATGAATATTCCTTCTTCGAAAAGGTGCACTTAGAGTTTGTCAAGATAGATGCCTGAGTGAGTATGGACTCATGTTACTTAATATAACATATTTGACATTTCAGTTGATGAAATCTGTGCATGTCCGGAGGCCTGAGGCCAGGAATTGGACTCAGTCAATACTGCCTGTCTTCTGATAGTGAGAAATCATTTCGTAGACGTTGCAGAAGAGGATCTAAGTGCCGGTTCGGGCAACAATCTGAGGCTCCTTGACAGTAGTGTTGCCGCGGCTCGGGAGCTGGCTCAAGCTGATTGGGTGGGCTTACAACAAAGGCAACAAAATATTTAGTGAGGTAATTGTCATGTCATAGTTGCCATTGTCGCCGCCCAGTCATCGCTTCAAAACATAAACCTTATGCTAAAAAATCAATTGTTATTTTTACTAGGGAACGATTCAGCTTCGAGCCGAGCCGAGCCGCGGCAACACTACTTGACAGGCACATTGTTTTATTCGTCCAAAAACCACTCAGTGATTTGTGGTATATTTCCGAGCTGATCTGAGGCAACAAGACTTAGGTATTGTGGTGAGATAGATTGGCATCACTATACTCGAACTTTATCAACTCTATTAAACAAAACTCTCTAGCGCGGGTTGTGTTACAGTGTGTCGACTGCGAGGCACAACAGCAGCGTCTGTAAAGCTGAAGTCACGTCGGAGTATCAAAAGCTCGCGCGTGACTACCAGATATGGCTAAGCTTTGTCCAAAACAAACACACCGCGAGACGCGCGTTTTCCGGGTTGGAATGCAAATGACTGTAGTATCTTTAGTGCGGGAACATTAATGTGGCCAAAGCGTTTGTGCCAGTCAAGCCACGTTCGTGCGCATGGTTCGTCACTTATATAAGCACGTTCTTTTGTTATTGGCTCACAATCAAAATAATAAAGTCGATTGCGGAGGGTGCCCACAGCTAAAGTGTTGCCGGCGGGACTTAGAAGCCGGACTTTTCCGTTTCCATATATGGCACGACCTCCGGCTTCATCTAATTTAGACACTGATATCAGGTTTTTAGAAGCCAACGGCATGTGTAGAACATCATGTAATATAATTTTAGTCGCGTGGCCATCCACGTGTGATTTCAGGCACACGGTTCCCTTTCCAGGGACTTGTATAACCGGTCCGCTTATTCCGTTCACTTTCATACCTTGTACCGGTTTATAATTAATGAACGCGCATTTTTCGGCGCATATGTGAGACGTCGTGCCCGAATCACTCACCCAGCAATAGAAGCAACCAGTGTATTGGGAAGACTCCCCCATATTTACATCTTCGTCAGAAGTAGGGGTAGATGTAGTATTAACTACTAGTTCCTCGGCCATTTTAGTGTCCTCGGCTGTTGAGGCTTCGCCTCGCTTCCTTTTTGTGCCTCTATCTCCGCCGGAGTCGGCCTTCTCTTTCCCCTTTAGGGAGACCTTTCTACCTTTCCACCAGTCCGGATATCCGATTTTGGCGTAGCAGTCCCCCTTATGGGGCTTCTCGCAGTACTCGCATAGATTAACGTTCTTGGCTGTGCAAGAGGCGTACCAATGAGAAGTAGTTTTGCAAGTATGGCAGTACTTGCCTTTTTGGTCACCACCCCCTGATCTACCCTTCCTGGCCTTCTTGGCCGGGCGCGGGGAGTCCGAATCGGAATCGTCAGGGTCAACGTTCTTCTTCCGCCGGATCCACTCCTTCCAGACGGCGGCAACTAAGTCCTCGGTGGAGCGGGACATAATTCCGCCTGAAGCGTCTTGGACACCGATAAAGCCCGATGCCCAGCCAT